TAAGAGTGAGCAGCTACTGAGTTGGTGGCTCGAGACTGGTGGATCAGTATCCTCAGCTGTAAGTTTCAATCAGGCGTGTTAGCTAAGGGCAGATTGCTGGTGCTGGGTTTTGAACAGAGCCCCTTTGGGCGCTGCTGGCAGATGCCGAGCGGCTCCCCCGCCTCCCCCGCCCGCGGCCGGGCTCCGCGCATGCCGGGAGCCGCGGGGCGGGCCCGCTGCTCGAACGGCCGCACCGGGCTGGCTGCCATCCCGGGGGATCCCGGCGGAGGCTGCAGCGGGCCGGGCACCCCCGGAGCAGCACCCGGAGCAGCCCGGCGGAGCGGCGGGGSCAGCGCAGGTGGGCCGGGAAACACGGGGGTTTTGAACACCGCAGCCCCGGAGCTGTAGGGCCGGGCCGGACTCGGGGCTCCCGCATTGCTAGGGAGGAAGGGAGGAAGGGGAAGGCTCACCGCTCTCTGCCGCCTGCCGGACCGGCCTCTGGGAGAGGAAAGGGGAATTTTGCAATGCTCCCCTTCCGGCGTGTSTGTGCAGAAAGCGCGCCAGTGTCGAACAAGTTCCATGCAGGGAGGAGAGTTCAGGCTCCCGACACAGCCGTTATTACCGCTAACGCAGGAGGCCAAGCTCCTACTCACAAAGGTTCCAAATTAAAGCAGTTTCATAAACCTGAGCCCCCCGGGTTGAGCATAAAGGATTTGTAGATTATGCCAAGAGTGGAYCTCATCTGGTAAAACCCTTCCAGAAAGTCCCTTGAGTGATGTTATTTTCAGAGTATTTGCTTTCTGATGAGCAATGATGACAGGATGCTTATCAAAGCTATTAGCTTTGTCCTGTGAAGGCTCTGAGAACTGCTGCGTTTTTTTTCTTCAAATTATCTCAAATTTAGTGCCTCAAGACTGATACTTCTATTTCATGTTCTGTAGTGCACCTGTCCCTTATTTTTTGTAATAAAAATTCTAGTTTGTTGATTGTTAGCACTGCTGTCCATTCCTTCCACTGCTGTTGTACCACATGTGCATTTGATTCCTCATGTCCAGTTGCCAAGGTAGCAGACACAAAAACAAATCAGATGAGCTTTCCAGAAGGTCTTGGGGATCCTTTGAAACAAAAGGTCTCAGAGGAACACATAGTTTTCTTGAGAACATAATTTATCAGTCAAGTTGAAAATAATTGAGAGTTTGGGCTTAGGGTTTGCTTCTGTTTTTCTGCAAATTTAGAGGAGCTTGTGTAAAGATGTTGAACAGTGTGACAGCCTTTCAGTCAAACTAGGCTTTATTTATTTATCTGTTTATTAACTCCTTATCACYTCCCTCTTCTAATAAAAGGGCATCCCTTTGTGGGATTTAATTAATTTGTGGGATTGGAATTGCCTGAATCTAGTCCTGAGTCACAGTTGAGCATTTTGGGAACATGGAGGACAGTTTTGACTCAGTAATTCTTTTGGATGTAGCAGACCCATTCATATTAATTAGATATATTTTGAACTTAACAGGCATCCTGGTGTTATCACAATATAAATTTCAATGCTGCAAAAGAACATTATGGCAGAATGCATAAGTATGTCCTAAATAACAGTCTCTGAGCCAAATGTCTCTTATTTAGCATTTCGATGTAAATTTTTCATGTTTGCTGTTTCCTCTGCCAGAGTTTCTTGTCTCTATTAAGTCAGCTTCCAGTTTCAGAGTGCAAAATATTTGAGGTATATCCAAGGGGAGAAGCATCTAGTGGTGTTGGTTTTGAGCATAAGGAGTTTTGAGACTGGCTGATTTCTCAGGGGTAACAGTCAACATTTCAACAGCTGTAAGTGGTTTTTAGGAAAAGTCCCCTGAAAGKGGATTCACCCGAGTCTGCTTCTTCACTTAATGTAGTGAATTTATGTAGTTCACTCTTCCTCTTGCTTTACAGTAAAATGTTTTTGTAGCATGGATTTAGATCTGGAGAYGCTGCGCCAGGCCAGCCAGGACCTTCTACAAAGACTCAGAATGAAGCAGGAAGAGATCAGAAATGGACTTCCCAGCAGGCCACTCCTTCCAGAACCTCTTCAGAGCAGCCTGGCTGCTGACAGATGTGTCCCCTCACCCAGAACAAGGGTATGTGGGGTGTCTGTGCTAGAAATTCAGGGAAACAAATGGGCCTTGTGAGACAGACAGCTCTGCCCATGGTGTGGTGTGGTCAAGGAGACATATAGATATGGAGGAGGTCTTAGAAAGTGGAGGATGGAGTCTGTTAGAAAAGTAGCTGCCCTTTGGTTATTGTTAATCCTGTGGACTCAATCTGTTCTCCAGACAAAGGGTTTGGGGATCAGTTCCTGCCTAAGAGAGGCAAATTTCTTCTTTATTTAAGATAGGAACGAACGTTGTGGAACAAAACCCTTTTGTCTCTTCTAAGCACAAGAGCTGAAAGTTCAGTGGTTCCTCAAATTGGGAAAAGATGCGTTTAGCTAGAAGTGGATTTCTTTCTTACCCTCTCCAAAACATAAGGTTTTTTATTTTCCCCTGCAGGAATTTAAAAGAGTGAACAGACTAGAATGACAGGTTGATTCAGTGAGAGAAATGTTCTTATGAAAGATATTTGTAGTCTGACTGATGCCATGTGTTGAGAGACTCTCTGTCATTACAGAAGGAGAATCAGGTCAATGCAGTGAACTTCACAGCTGCCCCTGGAATCGAGGTGTTTGTGGAACCCTTGTTGACTGGCTCAGCCCTCAGTTCATGTCTGCCACACAGCAGCAGTGACAGAGGGATACAGCAACAAGTGAAGACACAGGAAGGAGCAGGTTTTGATTCCAGCTGTCCTGGGAAAGGGAAGAATATCACACCAGTAATATTGCGTGGTGGAGAAATCTCCAGAGTGCATGGGGATGGCCATACTCRAGGAAGTCCAGGGAAAGAATCCTCCCTCCTGGGACATGGAGAGAACAGAAAACAGTTTGCTCTGCGGCATGGTTTCCATGAGAAAAGTCATCCRGAGCCATCACTGAGCAGAGTGCAAAATAAAGAGCCCAGTGAGCAGCAGCATGTGATCATCAGAGAGCCCCGTGTCCCTAAATCAGCCTTGCTGACACCTCGGTCCAAACAGTCAAAGGTAAATCTCAAACCAACGCTTTTCTTATTTTCTGAAGTCAACAGAAGGATGGGGAGGAAGGGCCAGGAGAGCAATATCTGCTCTGTTCCCACAGTGGAAATTGGRAGTTGGGGTCAGAACTGTTGCCAGCAGTAGCAGCTGGGGCTGTTGGCAGTTTGTTCAGGCCCAGCTTTCCTTAGGCAGTGACCTGAAGACCAGAAATCCTTAATGCTTCACTGTGACATTCCCTGTCTTTTGCATATGTGATCCACGTGCTGAGGGAGGACAGGCAGGTGCAGTGCTGCTGTTCCACAATTTGTCTCCTTAGGTGTGAAGGGCAGCCCCTGGCTGTGATCATCCTCCAAGGCTGCACAGGTTGCCCGTTTTGGGATGTGATATGCATGGAGCCCAGCATTTTATTAAAGCTCTGAAAAATCCTGCCTTACCTGGGCGAGTCCCTGGCCTCCTCTTTCTGTTTATTTATTGAGAAGACAAAGAGCTGGTGAGCAAATTACTGGTAGAGGCATAGATAGAATCCAGTCTTCAGCTAAGCTACAGCTGTCCCATCTGCACAGCTGCCAGTTCTCTCCTCAGCTGTACCTTTGAACTTCCTTCCAGRTGATCAGGAAGTCTTTATGAATTGTTTTCTTTCAGAAGGAAGCTCGTCATGTGACTTTTCAGCCTGATCCTGAAGAAGATACCACACCTGTGAACAGCTGGTCTGCCCAKCCTTTCCTGGGCTATGACTGGATTGCAGGTGAATCCTAACTGAAGCAAAGCTCTCAGTGTGATGTGGTGATATTAAAACACAGTTTATGGGCCCTTTAAGTTGAGGTGTGATGCAAATGTTGTCCTGGGGCCAACAGAGCAGCTCCCAGCAGAGGGGCTGCAGCTTTGTCAGAGTCCCCTCTSCAGACCAGAGGTGACTTGTGCCTACCTGGAGTGGTGAAGTGGCTGTGGTATGGGAGTGCAGGCAGCAAATGGCAGAGCCACAGTGTGGTCAGAAGGGATGCCAAATATCTGGAATGAATGAATGCAATCAGGGTTCCAAACCACGTAGTTAATCTCTGGCTTGACATGATGTTCTGCCCTTCTCATTATCATTATTTTGTTTTGATTATTTCTTATGAGGCTTGCTTTGGTACTTTCCCAAATTTTGTAACTCGCTGAACTTTTCTCTTTTCTTGGTGTTCTCAGGGCTCCTTGATACAAAGTCCTCAGTAACAGAAAAATCTGAGGAATATTTTGATGATCTGCAGGAGTTCCGACAGGCCAACAGAGAAGYCTGTATCCATCAGCAGCCCCCAGAGTAAGTGGGAATGGGGGAAGGGCTGAAGCAGCAATATTCAATCCCTTAGCAATCCCTGTTGTAAGGAGAACCCCACAGTCTGATTAGAGCAGGACATTGCAAGRGTGGCTTTGAGGGCCTTTATTTAGCTCCCAGTCATAAATAAATGCTTGGAAGAGCAGTGCTGTTCAGAGGGCCAGTCCCTCTGTCACTAACTGATTTTCTTGTGTTTCTTTAGGCCCAAGGATCGCACAGGTCCTGAACAAGAACTGGATTTGGTTACCGATTCCCATAAGTGTAAGATCATATTTCTTCCTAATGCAATTTCTGTGAATAAACAACTGAGCAGTCTTTACCTGTCATCCTGACAGAGCACCTTATTGYGCAAGACAACAAGAATATGTTATTTTCAGCTGCAGCTTTTCAACCAGATTCAACTTCCTACACAAAGATACTTGAGTCTTCTAGGGATCCTCTCTCAGTGTCATTTTAATTTGTCAGCGTTTCTTGCAATTGGCTGATGTTCTGTTTTTAAATTGAGGAGGTTGAAGTTTTGGTTTTGCTTTTTAGGAACTTACTTTAGGACAGGAAATGTAGAAGATATTTCAGGAAAAGCAGCTCTTTTTATAGAATGCAGGTGTGGCACTGTGGTAGAACACAGCTTTTTTGGCTGGGTTCAGGGACCTTGTGACAAGCAAGAACTATGTGAGGGTTTGTTGTTCTGTGCAGGTGTTTACTGYTACAAAGTAAACCAGCGCCTCTTCACCATCCCCATGGATTTAGAGTCTGCCTGCCCCGTGTGTAAGATCCCACGTACCCACCGGCCCTCAGTGACACCAGAAGAGCCAGCCTATATCAGGTAAATGAGAATTACTGCTTTGTAATATGCAGAACTCAGGAAAACAATAGGGAAGAGAAAGCTGATCAGGTGAAGGAGAAAAGAGCATCACAACACTCTGTAAAAGGTTGCTGTTCTCAAGGCAGAGATAACCTCTTGCTTAGAAACTCCTTGCTGATCTTTTCTATAAGCACAAACAGTTTTGAAATCAATGAGAAATGAGTGCTTTGTATGAATTTGGCCCAGAATCTGAATGCACATGTAAAGTGTCTAGTGCCCTAATCCAAAACTGGTTCACTTTGGTGTTAGACCCTTGGGTTCTGGGTGGGGAAGACACACAGATTCCCTGTGCCTTGTCAGAGATGCAGGCAGTTACTTCCCTTGTGTGGTTCCAGGGTCAGCATTCCCAGGTCTGTCCTTTTGCCAGCCTACAAGTACAGAGCCCATCGCAGGAAGAGCTTTGAGCCAGCAGATGATCTGGCACTGCCCTCGGTGAGTTGCTGTCTTCCTGCTGATGGCACAGCCCAGGCTGGGCCTTGCTTTATAGCAAGAAGGTGAGAGAATCTGGGACTCATTCCCTTGGCAGAGTTTCCACTAAAATTTCTGGTTTGCATCACTGAGATAGGCAGAGCATCCTGTGGTTTGGTCTGAGTTCACGCCTTTGTGTGAGTGACATTAAGTATATGACATATTTCCAGTGCTTTACACTGCACAAAAGAAAATGCCACGGKGAACTGTATCCTGGGGCAAATTTGGCTGACTTATTTCAGGCTTTGGCCTCTTAACGTGGTGAACCATAGCTAAGAGTGCCTGTGTTTGCTTCCATAGATGTTAAGGAGCCTGAAAGGCAAGTATCCATGAAGTGTTCATAAAATCAGTAGAGGCAAGGGTAGATTTAAACCTGCTGTTGTGTTGTTATTCTTGTATTCCAGCCAGTAGTGAAAGCTGTTGCTAATCTGGCCTAGCCTTGGCCTAGAGATTTCCAGGGAAGAGGTGGGAGGAAGCTTGGTTTGAGGTTTAGGGAACTGGATGAGTCAGTTGAGACAGGTTCAGAGAGGTCGGGTGCTTGAGTTCACAAAGCAGAAGATCAGTTCAGAAAGGTGGAAGAGTGGACAATTGTGTAGTTCTCCTTTATTAGAGTTTTCATTTATTTCCTGTTAAGCATATAAAATTCCTCAAAAAATACTTAATTACTTAATTACTCACTTAAACCTCCCTGTTCAGAAGTTAGTTCTAAATAATAACAGCAACAATAGATGAAAAAGGGTAAATCATTCCCATCTTTTTTCACAGCATTGCCTGGCTGGCTGGGAAAATACTGTCCCTTCCAGCAACCCCCAACTCAGCAATCTGGATCTGCGAGAATCACTGCAAGAAAAGCTTTCTCCCTATCCTTGCCTGGTAAGAACAGCCTCCAGAGTCCCAGGAGATGCTGGGAATRGCACAGATGGAAACTGTGGTCCCATCTCCAAAGGGTGTGATGATTATTGAGGGCTGAGCAAATGAAAATGCTTGAAAGGTTATCTCCTTATCAGTTACTGGGAAACATTTTCCTTCTGCTGACGAATGTGCACAGAGAGCCAAAAGCAAGTGGAGCTGAATAACTGACAAAAGCCTGGTCAGCTCACCAATCTTCATCAAAATGGAAAAAGTCACTTTGGCATTCTTTGATTAATATCCTCTTTATTTGGATTGCAGGACACAGCATCCAGAGKGAGAGGAGAAGCCAGGTTTGTGCATCTGCCCCACTTGACACAGCTGAGGTGTAGCAGAGCAAACCAGGACATCAGAGAAAAGCTCTCAGTTCAGACTCCCCTTCCTCAACACCCTGGACTTGATTGCCCTGGGGAAGGGATGGGCACAGCATGTGGAAACAACTCAGAAAAAAAGCAATTTGGAGAAAAATAAATCTTTGGACAGATTTTCCCCAGTTTTCRTATCCATGCGTGTGTGTGAGCAGCCAATACACAGCTCTGAGTTTGTACAGTCCACTATGTTCACTTTGCTTTTTTTCCTTTTAGAGCTGTTTGTGAGCAGCTGCATGAGCTGTCCCACCTAGGGCTGGATAAAGGAATGTCCAGGATCAATGGAGAATCTCTCACCTCAGTGAGTGACCAGCACTGTAGCATTAATTCTGAGGGCCAGAATTGGCCTCTACAGGGCCTGGCTCAGTGRAGTGACACAAATAGGTTTATTTCCAAATGTTTGAAACATGGCAAGCAATTTTTTAGTGCCTTAAACTTGAGTTTCTCTATAACTCATTTAAAAAACTTTTTAAAATCCAGTTTATTCTCAGGGCAATGTGTGTGGCTACAGAGTGTATTGCATCAGAGTAACTATGAATGTGAAAAATGTTAAAGTAAAATGAGATTTTATTCATCAATGATCTGGATAGTGCCTTTAAATGTTTGCAATTTTTGCTTGACTCTGCTTTTCCAAGTTTTCTAAAGATAAAAATAATTTTAGAATTTTTAAATTGTACTAAACCAAAGTACTTCACATAGTGTGATTTGCTTGAACTTTATAGTTTGATCTTTCTTTCCATGTCTGGAAAAAATAAAACTGGTGTTTTATTTTGCTTTGAATTTTCTGAAACAGAAATTCATGCCCCAGATATGCTTCTGGGAGTTAACTTGAGAGAATCAATTTGGCTTGTGCAGCTTCTTGGTATTCACTGTAATTTTTATATCAGATACATTATATATGAAATCARATGCATGAATAGACTTTTTTGGAGCAAGGACAGGAATGTTGCAATATTGCAAGTTTATGAAATCCTAATGTAAGACTTGGAAAATGAAAAGCATGACTTTTAGCGTGACTTTAGCTTTGGGTTATGGATCTGTAAAGTGAATGGAATTGGTCATGCAATTTCCATTACTGCAAATASTAATTTTCAAAGAAACTAATCCAGYRATTATAAAAAACTAGGTGCTAAATTKTATACCAAACAGGGCAAATTCAACGTTTTTACTACCTGGCCTTCAAGCCCAAAACATAAGACATCATAAACCTTTCCTTAATTTACCCTGTAATAAATTAGAGCAAGCCTGTTCCACTCTATAACAGAGGAAAGGTCCTGCTGTAGATTTGGTAACCTATGTTAGATGTTTCTGGTGGATGCAGATTGGAACCACTGTTGAATTCARAATGTCTCTTGATAGCTGGGAATACATTCAGTCACTCACACTTGTGAAAGCATTGGAGGTGTGATTCTGACTCTTTCTCCACCAAAAAGAGGTGATAAAAGTTGGCAATGCTGCCCCTGCTCACCCAGGTTTGTCTCTGAGTGTTGGTTCTGTGTGATCCTGCCTTTGTCTGCAAGCTCAAACAGAYTGAGAATGTTTGTGGAGCCTCTTTGTGTCTGGAGTGGTGTAAATCCACACCTGCACAGGTGGCATTTCAGCCACGTGCTGTGAGGAGCAGTGTGAGTGTGGATACAGGAATGTTKTGTAGTGTAATAACAATGTTTTGCACCCTGCTTTGTCCTGCAGCACRTTACACAATCCTGGGTAATAAACCCTTCCTGCAGGAGGGGGATGAGRTGTCACCTGGGGGTACATTGTAAATAAAACACCTACTTGCTGCTTGAAAAATTGCATTTCAGCCAGTGTTAGAGCAGCTTCTGCACTTGGACAGTGGACTCAGTGCTGGGATCTGCATTTCCAGGGAGAGCAGAGGGTGGGATGGTGTGTGTGGGTTGTCAGGATTGTGGGTTGGGAGCATGGGAATATTTTGATGCCTGGGATTTCAGGGATTTCCTAAACCACAATATAATATAAACACTGGACTTGATTGTGTAGGCACAGGGCTCTGGGGTAGCATGGCTCCTGTTCCTGGAAGTAGGCTTGACCCAGTTTATAATTTTTTTCCCATTTGTAGCACTTAGGAACACTCTGGTTTAGTCTGGGCAGCTGTTTCCTTTAATGGCTGGATCTCTGCTCATTGGTGTCAGTTCTCTTCTGCCTGCTGTTTTGGTGGTAAAGCTGGTGCTTTAGTTCCCCTTTCTGGCTGTATTGTGTATATATAACACTGATTCATGAGATGGGAAGTCCAGCTTTGCTTAATTAAATAAATTAGACACCGTGAATGATGCACTTGTGATTGGTTTGAACAGAGCAATGTTGTTCAGCTGTTAAAGCACAGCTCCCACTGCTTCTCAGTGCCAGTGTTAGATGGCCTTCAGTGTTTGTCTGTTTGCCTTTTCTTATTATTTTAAGATGGTTTTTGTGATGTTTCAGGATCAGGTGTTTCATTGCTGTCAGTACATTGCAAAAATTATTAYCAGGAGTTTTGAATGAATATAGTGCTGATTTATGAACAGTGCATTCTGTTTCATTTTCAGCACATCAGGCAGTGACTGTCCCCASAACTCCCAGGTGAAACAGCTGCATATGGCTTGAACTTGACTTTTGAATCATTTGCAACCTCTGATTTTGGGGGTTTTTATCTCTTTGGAACTTATTTCCAAAGCTCATAAGAATTTGTTTCAAAGTGTCTGAAATTTGAAAACACAAGAGAAGTTYTACCCCTTCTCTTTGGAGTCAAACTCCTCAATTTCACCAGCCCCTTGGGTAATGACTGGCCAAAACTTGGTTTTCTTCCTTCCATTGGTTTCTGCAGAGCAAAACTAACATGAAGAGGAAAACAACCCTAATATGTTAGGGTTGMGATGCTCAGCTTGTCAAAAAAGGTTTTACAGTCTTGGGGAAAAACTGCATCCTGAAAAYCTTCCCATTTGATACTTTCAGTGAAATTATTTAAAATTTCCCAACTTCCCTTCTATTCCTATCCATGAAGAAAAGTTCATCTGGCTTCTGTTATTAGTTAAGCTTTAAAATTCAACTTTTAGATGAGGAGAACCAGAGAATCAAGAAAAGATATGAATTGCCCAAAATATCTGTGACACTATGGGGATCTAATGAGTACTATTTGTGTGTTTTAACCCTCTGGTCCCTCTTCCCCAAACCTTTTAATTTTCAATTTGGGATTAAAATGTATGGAATWGGAGCTCTTGGTGCTTTTTCAAATTGCTTTACCAAGAGTTTTTTCTATGGAGAATGACCATGTGCAACTATACCACCCTTCCAGAAGCTGTAGTCAGAATTACTGAAAGTAAAGACATGGTGTGATCTCTCATCTAAGGTCATTTCTCTCTCCCTCTCTGTGTCTCTCAGCCTGTGGGCACAGTAATTCTGTGATATGGTTTTGGTTTCTTTCATGGAAGCCAAAGCTTTCTTGAGAGAATTGAGTTCTCTGTCAGCTCTTCTCATTTTTCAGTCTGACTCAAAATGTACTTTAGTTTTGAAGCTGGTATGGGGCAGTAAAAGACATTTTATACTTTGTTACATTAGTTATTTTATCACTTTATAAGTGATAAGGCAGTAGTATTAGTTGAGATAATGTAAACAAAGGTATAAGATTTTGTTATCCACATAAAATCTATCTAAATGACGTGTAAAGAAAAGTAATTGGAAATTAAGCCATGTTATCTTTATTATTAACATGGTAGCTTTTTTTTTCCTGATGGTAACTTGTTTTAAGTCATTTCTACAGTTTAATAAGTGTGCAAGGAGAGCTTTACACTTTGTTCCTTGTTGATCACAATGCACAAATACACCAAGGTAAGCTGAATCAAGACAGCTCTCAGATCATGTTCTCAAGAGCACCTGCAGTGTATTTAACATAGTGCAAAGTGATTGGATTGAAGTGACATTAATTGGATTGACAAATACTTAATACGAAGAATTGTGCCAGCAAATAAATATCAGTACCAGAGTGGTATAGAGGGACAGAATTTTGCCAGTCTGTGGCATAAATGAAGTTTTATTTATTTTTCAAATGCCCTGTCAGCTACAGCCAATTTGAACCCCAGTGTCTGGCTGTGTTGTGTATCTCAGTGAGATCTCATTGCACCAGTGTTGCTCTCTCTCTGTTTTCTGTGCTACTGAAAGATTTCCTGAGAATTTCAGTATATTGCCTTTTCTTACAATGCCTAAAAGCATCGGGATCCTGTGTGTTGTTACACAGTGTCACTGTCCAGGATATCCAGGAACAGATTGATGATTTAATCTGATGATTTAAATGCATAAATAGATTGAGGACGGCAGCAAGAAACTAGTTCTTGATTTTCTTCTTCTCTTCATTTCTTGCTCTCCTTTTAGCCATGAGATTCTCTCTKCTTTTCATTGCAGGAGATGCCTTCATTTCTCTTCTCTGTTTTAATTTGTACCCCCAAGGTATGCAGCATGTATCCCAACCAGCCCTGCCTTTGGTACTCCCAGGGCTGCTCATGAAGTTTTAAGCTCTGGCATTGTTTCATCTGGCTAAGGAGCAAGAATTTGTTGATTTTTTTTTTTTTGTCAGCATACTGCAATGCTCTGAGTAGCAACACTAGCAGACACCGAAATACAGATTTTAGATCAGATATTTTAAAATGTGTCCTTTTAAATTTCATGGTCTCTTTTATCTGTCTGACAGAAGTTTAGAGATGACACTTCTCTTGCTGGTTTTTTTTCTCTTTTACAGCTAGATATGTATTAACTGAACATACTTATTTAAAAGCAGAAGAAACCRTGGGTAAAAGTACAACATGAAACTAAAATTAACCACTTCAGAATTAGAAAACATCATGAGTACTTTTGCTTGAGCACGTGTGCACCAATCCTCCTTCTGGAGTGTTCCACTGCTGCTTCCTTTGCCAGGCTCTCACTGTTAGAGCACAGTGCTGAAGGGATGATTTGGGCAGAAATTTCCCTCATGGCTTTGTTGGGTCTCTGCATTCTCTTGCTCCAGGTATCAAGTGGCATTTGAACAGCCCCTGACTTACAGGACATTCTCTGAATTAGTTAAAATAGAAAATGCCATTGATACCTTTAACACCTAAAGCAAAAATTGATCCAGATGTCAGAGAAAGRTGCATGTAATCAAATGAACATTATAAATAATAACAGCTTGCTCACAGAGGCTTCCCTTTTTTTCTGACAGACATTGTCCTTCGATGGAAGCCCAGAGAATATGGGGTTGGTCGTTTATTTTTATTTGTTCTGTGGGGTTTTTTCATATTAACATGGGGGATTATTTTCTAGGAAACAGAGCCATCATGTAGAGAACAGTAGCGTGGGTTTGTTAAAAATGGACATGCTTCTTCCAGTTACTGATAGGGCTTCTTTTGGAAAGCCCCTTTTGTTGTATTTGAAATCAAAACACAAAGTCTGAAACAATGCATTCACTTGGAAATGCATGYGGTCTGTGATATTCCTGTGGAATAACCTCTTCACCCTCTTTATTGCTGTTGCTTTTTTTACATGCTTGTAATAACAATTCATGATGTAACAGCCTTTCTGAAAAACCAGCAGCAACAATAAGCACTTTCCACTTCCTATCCTTTTAAATACATAGTTCAATCAAGAAAGAAGTTAAGAATTAAGAAATTCATGGAAGAATGGCAGCTGAGAAACCTGATTTCACTTTGGACATGTAAGTGGATTTTTYCTTCTGAGGAGCACCCTGGAGACTTTCCCTCGGTGAGTGCCACAAGCAACTTGTCCCTTTATCCAAGTTTTTTCATGAAACTTTGTAAAACTTAATTGCATTGCCTTCTCAGATAAATTTGATTGAAATCATCCAACGGGTTTAAAAATCATTGACAATATTCATTAAGAAGGAACTCATATACATACACATAAAAAATGCTCTGTATGCTTGTTTCAGTCTTACTTTCTCTGGAAAATGGGCCAGAAAACTCTCCCTGGTKCCACCAGTTCTGGGAAAGTCTTTAACACACAGATTTTTTGTGCTCCCATGGGTAATTTTTGCATCAGGTACTCAAACTTTCGCAATATAATTTAAACCTTCCAGGCTCTTTCTGATGTTGGTGCTGTCCTTTTGCTAGAAAAGCTTGGACAGGGCCTGATCAGAGGAAAAAACACAGAGGGGAGGGAAAAAAAGACAAACAGAACTCACCAATTGCCCTGACTAGTATGTCACTTGAAACTGCATTAATAAATTGGGGGGATTGCCTGATGGCATATTATTACAGAAGATTAAGGTGTTTTCTAGCCCATTATTTAACTAAGAAAATCAAGAATGATCTTTATCTGACTTTCAATAGTCTCTCATTTGTTTTATTGTTGTYGATAAGGGTGAGAAGCAAAGATAAAACAGCCCAGAGTTTTAAGAATTCAAATTGTCATTATTTTCCCGTGTGCCTCAGAGGGGTTTTCAAGACACTTTGTCCTTTTTGAAGTAGCTAACCTTTACTTTGGACAAAACTTGTAGGGCAGATAAGGAGGCTTCATGACGCCTTCAACCAACTGAAATATTTCCAAGCATCATGACAAAAAGTATCCAGAGTGACAAATGAAAGTGAGTGAAATCTTGAGTAGCAGTCCTAAGGATGATTGTCATCAACAAGAATTAGTTTCTCTTGGGACTGGAGGAAAAGGAATGGTCTGTGGGAATTTGGTGTTTTTAGTGGCAATGTGTAAAGCCTAAACCTTAGCACAGTCACCCTGGTTGATTGTGAGCCTTCACCCACTCATGCAAACAGGAGTAAAATGATTGTACTGAAAAGGTTAGTTATTTCTTACGGGGAACTTTTTTCAGGCTTGATTGCAAATCTTGAAAAAGGGACAGCTGGACG